GTGAGGCCCGCTCTGGCCTGCGGGACGCACTAATCGTGCCTATACCCGCGGTCGAGACGCCTCCCTTCCCCTGCGCGCGCAATGTAAGTGGGCCAGACCTTTGCATGCACATGTGAGCAGATGTTTTGCGGTCGGTGTTTTTTATATATAAATACATTTATTTGCCTTTAATTCAACTCTTTGTATTTTTAACTTAACTGATGGACATATATGGGCTGTAAAAGCTAATCTGGTTGGCGATCATGCTTTATTCGAATTATCTGCGTGATCGTGCAACTGCCATGATTGTTATGGTCAATGTGGAAATATTCGTCATACGGGCATGTTATACTTCTGGCTTGATGCGATGCACAAAACCATGTTCTTCCACATACGCAGCAGTTCTTGCTTCAAAGACTTATATGCTGACGGTGCACGATAGGTATACCTTATACCTCATGCATTTACCACATCCATTCGAAAATATGCACTTGGAATTGTCTCCAGTGTGTCTGTGTTACATACTACGTGATGTAGGTACGTGACCGTAATAAATACTAATGATTCCAGAAACTTCCGAATGGATGTGGTGTATGCATTCATCGATTATATAACCCATCAGTATTTCGTTTCTTGTCAGCGCAAGCCTTTGAGCAATAACTGATGCCAGTCATGATTTTGTGCACCACTTCCAGCCAAAAAATGACCTGTCCGTATAGAAAATATTTCCTGAATCAGTATCGTGGCAATTGAAAACGAACGCGAATCGTAAGTTCTTAAGGTTATCAACGCAAACAAAGCGATTGTAAGGAAGAACAAGTTCGAACTGAGCGTTAGTACACTTACTTGTTGACAATTTGTAAACTAGCAATGCCCAGTCAAAGGCTAGTTCATCAACAAACCAGGGGTTGTTGAACCGACAAGGAAACGGCTATGCCTATCCAGAAGTTGGTAGGTTCACAAGGCCCAGACTAGTACTCAACAAGGTGACGCCTATGCGAATTGGAACCAAACTTGTAGACAAACTGTTAGTTTGTTAGCCAACACGCCTGGGGTTGGTGAATCGACAAGGTGACGCCTATGCGAATTGGAACCAAACTTGTAGACAAACTGTTAGTTTGTTGGCCAACAAGCCTGGGGCTGGTGAATCGACAAGGTGACGCCTATGCGAATTGGAACCAAACTTGTAGACAAACTGTTAGTTTGTTAGCCAACAAGCCTGGGGCTGGTGAATCGACAAGGTGACGCCTATGCGAATTGGAACCAAACTTGTAACAAGGAGCCAACTTGTAGATTTGGTTTACGGTGAGGGAGGGAATAAAGTGAGCTGAGAGTTGAGACGAGGCACCGGATCCGACTGGCAGCAGAGGCCGCGGTGGTCTGATGAAGGGCTCGGGGTGAGAAGTCCGACACAACAACAAACGGCCCGCCTGATTGGTATTTGTTTGCCAGCAGCTCCGGTGTCGGAGAAGCGAGCCAATTCGAATTGGCCCGCCTGGCCCCGGCGGCAGCGGCAGCAATCGGTCGGGACACGCGCCGGACGGTGTGAGCGTTGCTTAACAATCGGCACCAATGATTCGCAGAAATCCAGCGCAGAACTAAACTCGGTCCAAATGTCAACTAATACAGAAAGTCGGCCAGCAGTCAGCGTGACAGGCAACGATCACCAATCTGATGCATTGTTCGCACATCAGACCAACTTTACAGGCCAAGTTTTATCTGGATTCAGCGGAAACTTGCCGCCGGCGATCGCCGGGCCAGGTTAGCGGCACGACTAAACTTCGCCCGGCGGCAGCCTATTCAGCCGAAACTTCCCCCATGGCCAGTCAGCTGACAGGTACTGAGCGTCCCAAATTTCCAGTGTTCATAATACGATCGTACTAACGATGAGGCGACCGGTCGCCGCTCCCGGGAGCGCCGTCAACTTCGCCCGTCTGCCCGGCTCCCCTCGCGTGTGAGCGAGTCCGTCCATCCCGTTTCTGGTGGAAATCTGTTAGCGCGCCGTGCCTGGTGTTATGTCCGCGCGCGAGTTTGGCGCTCTGGCCCGCTCCGGAGCAGACAAGTGGCGCGAAAACAGATCAGCCACCCGTGGCCACTGCACGACACCGGGGCCGCCACCGCCGACCTAGACACAGAGCGGCCGGCCGGCGGTCGATGCAGCCAATTTCAGAACGTCAGTCATCTCGGTCCGCCAGAGAATATCGACCTCGGAGCGCCTTCGCGCGCACGCCAGGCCGCACTCGAAGATGGAAACAGATGGCCGCCCTTCAGCACAAGTACCGGCCGTTTCTGGGATTCTTCTGCGCGAGGCCTGCTCGTGACGCTTTCCAAGGTAGTTTTCGCGACTGCTATCTAGATAATAAATTCATCCTTGATGTGAAAACCTGAGATTATTAAACTTTCGCAAAACAGCTTTGATCTGTTGCGCAAACTTTATAAACTGACATTACGAAAAAAAATTCAAGAGGCGTAAGCGAATTAATCGTTTATGTCGCTACGCAGAAGGCAGCCAAATAAGAAGTTTACGTTAAACATGTTACGCCGATAAGAACGTCACAAGGGTAAGAAATTCACTATTTAAGATGAATTAGTTCGACTACAACACACAACATACGTCGAACCACATCAGAAGAAATAACAAACTTAGTGCATATTGCACCAAGAACAGTAGTTCTGCTTGGGATTAATACTAAATGCGACTTCTAATGAAAATGAAGAAAGTCAAGGAAAATCTGCTAGACAAATGTCGTTTCGACGAATTGTGTGCAAGCAAATGAAAAGCGCTCGTATACTTATTCAATGAACGATCTACTATCTTAAGTCGAGCAATCACATCGACATACCTGAGTCGTTTATTGGGTTTCACTGGCATCGCTAACTCGACACATTTCTCATTCATTTTGACCCGAGCCGAGAAAATTGCCTGTTTCGAAATGGAAATCAGCGTTCTATTAGGAACGGCCGACTTCCAATTAAAGGCCTTGTCCGGCTGAGAAGCTGTGGCGACGACTGGGGAGCGGGGTGGCGGAGGCGGAGGCGGGGCCGGGGGCGGGGGCGGCGGTCGCGGCCTTTGGCACGAGCCGCTGATAATGGATGGGGTGCGCCGCGCCGCGGAAGTCATCGCCGATAAAATAGAGACGACCGGGCGGCAATTATTCATGCCCGCTCAATGGCGTCGGGAGAGCAGACGACGGCCGACACTAGAGTCTCAACGAGCCATTGTCGGCCGGAGACGGGCCGACCTCATCCGGAGACGCCCGAGGAATTGGGAACAACCGATCACATATAAATGTATCTGTGCGTTTGATATCTCGGCTGTGTGAGTCTGTGTGTGCTTGGAAGGGTTTGCCTACATGAGAGGGTGTGGAGCACGGCATAAGAGCGGTGAGAGTGTAGGGGCTAACCACAGAGGGCGGAGGAAACAGAGTGGAAGGAATGAGATGGAGAGGAATCATTGTGCGTACTCAGTAGCTAATGGGTCCATAATCACATATGAATTGCAGATGATTGCGGGCTATGGTGGCGGCAAATGGACCTGTACGGCCTCCCTAATGCATTCCTCCACTAACAAGACTGCGACAGAGAGCTAGGTCACAATGCCACCCCATCCCGCCGTCCAATACCGGCCGTTTCCCGCGGCCAAACGTCCCCCGCTAGTGCGTATTTACGCGGCGGGGTCCGATTTAGGGCCAAATTTGGCGCCGGCGCGACACTGTCGGCGCGTCTCGGCCCTGTTTGCGGCGTGCAGCGGTGTGTGCCAGCCGATCCGCCCCACCAAACATGACACGGCCTGGAGAGACCCGTGAGAGCCGGGCCAGCTGGTCGGCTGCCTGGCGACCGGTCGGGCCGCCGAGCCGCCGGTATCTGGGCCCAGATCCGACAGCGGCCGGCCGGCCACTCAGGCTGTTTGGCTTCCTCCGCCGTCCGCCGAGCAACACTGGGATCTGATTTCAGGAGCCGGCCGGCTTTCAACAATCAGACCCCGGGCTGCTCTCTGCTTTTTGTTGGCGCCCTTCCGGATACTTTGAGCAGGCGCACTGTCAACAATCAGTACGTGCGTGGAATGTCAAAAAGCCGACCCGAATTCGGCTTATTTATTTTGCTGAAGAATTCAAACATGTATTCGCAGAACTTAGCATAGATGATGCTAGTTCTGAGGTAGTCTTGGGAAGTCCGGAAGCGTCTATTGTTCGTCCAATGCGTGGCAATCAGCCTGGGTTTCCCGGAATGTAGAACACTCTACCGGAATGAACTTCAAACACGTCGCATTGGATGAAAGGGCTCGTTAGGTTCGACAGCCGTGAGCTGAAACGCTCCTGAATTACTAATTAATCGTGTTGGAACAGTATAGTCCCACTTATGACATGTTGACACAGTTTAACGGCCGTCATTGGTATGCGATTGTATGTACTCGTGGAATATACGCAGCGAGTTAGGTAATTCATAGTCGTAATAATTACACTCACATCAGCAAACAGCTCAGCATCTCATCCAAACGTTGTGTAACGTTTGAAACACAAAGTAGTCGGCTTTGAAGCTAGCGGTCGTTGCTGAATCGTCAGACTCTAGCGATTAGTTTCTCATTCTCTTCCGTGAGGAGGTCAGGATCTAAAGCACCCGTGTCGATGTTGACAGTGCGCCACGGGGGACATCAAAGGTCGGAAATTCATTCAAACGCTACTCCGAGACGAGCGCCAGTTCTTCTGTCCGGGTGCTATACTAGTCGACTGACTCGAAAAATGTAGCACACATAGTAAAAATGTGGCTCTTTATGTCGGCAACCATATACATGCTGTGATTACACTTTTCATTACTTAAATGTGTTGCATTGATGGAATGAAGTAAGTACAATGTGTAGTACGTGTACAATGTACATAATGCCCGAAATCCCAGCCCAATCGAAGTTGTCAGTCGTGGAGTATCTAACGAGAACTCGCCCCACCGTATGAATGAGTACTGTATGTGCGTCACCACAATTGCACGTCACCACAATATCCCGGACCCATCATCCTCGTACTCACCATGGCGTAGGCAGTCTGTCCGTCGTCCGTGTGATCGCCCAGCTCGCCCAGAGCCGTCTGGTGATCGAGCTCCATCTGCTGCCGCCGACCTCGCTTCAGCGTCTCGCGGTGCATGTCCGAGCGACTGGCGTAGTTGACCAGCGCGAACTCGAGCATGGCGCCGAACACAAACATGAGGCACACGCCGGTCCACACGTCGATGGCCTTTGTGTAGGAGACGGGCGGCAGGGCGGCGTTGATGCCGGACGTCTGGGTGGCCATGGTGAGCAGCGTGGTGACGCCCAGTGAGACGCGCGCCGGCACGGCGTTCTGGTCCAGCCAGAACGACACCCACGACACGATCACCAGCATGCAGCAGGGCACGTAGATCTGGATCAGGTAGTAGGAGAACTCGCGCTTGAACAGCAGGTCCACCGTCAGGCAGCTGTACTCGCCTGGGGGTGGGCAGGGAGCGCGGCTCAGTGGGCAGCGGTGGGGAAATGCTCAGAATTGACTGCATGAGGGGAAGTGAGTATGTATAATAACCTCGAACAAAACATAAAGAGACCTGCATAATTGTGCATTTCTGCTCGTCTGAAGCGAAACAAAAGAAATGACGCGTTAGCAGAATGCCCGCGGTGAGCGACGCACATTAGGTAATTGAAAACATGGAGTCACGAGTAACCTGCAAAAATCGATTAGAGCACGGGACCCTATGAAACAGTACCTGTGTTTGTTTTGCTGTTACAATAGGCGGTCTGAAATTTCTCCAGTGTAAACCTTGGCAGATGAAGACCGTCGTCAATTTGCACTGGGTCATCTTCCTTCCACACAAATATCAAGTCATCCGTCTTCCAAGCATCTGGGAAGAAAGATAAATCGTGAAAATTTATAAAGGAAACGCTACACATACGGACCAGCGTTGTTAGCTTTGGTTCCGTTCCGTCAATTGCATTTTTGCGTAAGGCTGTTTTTATCCGTCTGAATTCACATATGTTGCCAAATTAGACTACTAATTGACGTTCACCATCTCTAAAAAGGGAAATGAGAAAACAAACAGTTGCGCTGTGCATCACTAATTGGGTTTTTGAGACAAAGTTAAGTCAAACAGTTCCGTTGAAAAAAAAATATTGACAATGCTTTTGAAGCAAGTTTCCGTCCCACACGGAGACTGAAGTAAAGCAGACCGACGACTTTCACCAAAACATTTAACGAGATAACTTAGTTTCTAGAAAGTTAACTCAACTAATCGTTTTGCTCCTCAACCGAAGAAACCCAAACTGTTTAAGACACTCACAGCTGGCCATTTTGAGCGAGCACGTCTGTTTGTCGAGCGGATAGAGCTTCAGGTCCATCGGACACGACAGTGTCAGCGATATCCTGCCAAACAGAGGGAGAGAGCACATTGTGAGAATGCACCGGTGCAGAGCATACAACACCCATAGCCGAACTTTGCGGTGTCAAGACACGAAGAAACTTCGGTCTGCTCGGATGACTTTTCCTGAAATGGTGTCGATGTTACTACCAATACATCCATTCATTTACACGTTTCATTACATTAATGCATTCTCTGAGACGAAATTGGAGCGCCAATGTCAATTTCTGTTTCCCGTTTGCGCCACGGACGTTCGCCCATTATCGCCTCATCGCGCGCGCTGCTGGGTGCTGAGTGTCGCTGACTGGGCCGACAGCTGCGACGCCTGCTAATGACGCACGCGACACGCGCGGCCACCCCGTGCGGCGTGCCGAGCCGCGGTGACGCCCGCTGACGTCGTCCGCTCGCGGAGTCACGACCCGCACCGTCCGGCCAGCCCTGACGGCCGCCGCTCAGCCCGCGCCGCCCGGCCGGTTTAAGTCTGCGCGCGTTATCGGGCGGCCGCTGCAAAAACGCCAGCGCAGTGTCCACATAAATCTGCCACGGAGGATGGACGGTCGACGAGCAGGGTCAACACTGCTCTCGGCGCCCCTTCGCGCCGCCGCCGGCGTCCCGGCAGTCCGCCGCCCGACCGGGGGCTCCCGCTAGCGTGTCGATCCGCCATCGGCGAGGCGGCGGCGAGTTATCCGTCCCGATACAAGTTAGGACTGGTAGAAACCAAACTGCCTGCAAAGTATCCTCGCTTTACTGCAAACGGAAGTCATACATATTCAAAGTTGAACTTGTTCAAAGCGAAGCTGTTGGGAGTTAACCTTTTGAAAACAAGGCGGCTGATGAGTGGGCTGCTCGTGCTCAGCATCACAGACAAGCGACAGCACGAGGGAGGGGAGAAGAAGAGGGAAACACGGAGGAACACCGTGTCCCTGAATGTATCAGAGGTCCCAAGTGCGCTATATAAATGACAAATAAAAAGCGATAATAAGTTGCATTCAAGCCATACCTGCCATTGGGTGCATCTGGTTTTTGTAAAGATTGCTTAGAAGACAAATAGCAAACATCATGAAGTTATGCCTAAGTGCTAAGGCCAAAGAAGGCGGTAAAGAGTTAAGTCCCGTTCGGCCCGTTCCTCGCGAATCATTTTGCCGCTATGCTACGGTAACCGTTCACTTTGTGAACGAGCATACTTATATTTTTGCCGTGCCAAGATGTCCGTCTAAAGCATAACTTTTTGTTTCTTCTTTTTTTTTAAATTCGTTAATTGACAAAGCCAGTGCCAGACATGTTCCTAAATTTCATACAAGCTAGAGCTGAAGAAAAGCCTTTCCACAGAAGAAAAGCCTATCTACACAAAAACAGCCGGTTAGAGCTCCTTCCGACTCCCGCTCTAGCGAATCGCACCTTTCCGCAGTTTGAATTGCGACCGGACGGCCGAAAGCCAAACGAAGAGCCGGGACACACTGTTGTGCATTGCTCGGGATGAAAGAACGCTGTTATCTTCAGGAACGGGCCACAGGGTGTCCTCAGACGGAGCACAAACACATTTAGTCGCGACAAACCGGCAGCAGCCCGTTGTCGCAGCACCATTTCGCTGTCGTTGAACGAGCTAACACTCCGCGATTGGGGGACTCAGCACCGGCTCTCTGCTGCCAATTTCTTAAAGGCGTCGAGGGAAGATTCGATTGAGTAGGAACTCAAGAGACTAAAGGTCCAAGAAATCAGGTGGATCATTTAATTCACAGTCGGGTCGAAATTAGAAGAGAGAGAGAGAGAGAGAGAGAGAGAGAGAGAGAGAGAGAGAGAGAGAGAGAGAGAGAGAGAGAGAGAGAGAGAGAGAGAGAGAGAGAGAGAGAGAGAAAGAGAGAGAGAGAGAGAGAGAGAGAGAGAGAGAGAGAGAGAGAGAGAGAGAGAGAGAGAGAGAGAGAGAGAGAGAGAGAGAGAGAGAGAGAGAGAGAGAGAGAGAGAGAGAGAGAGAGAGAGAGAGAGAGAGAGAGAGAGAGAGAGAGAGAGAGAGAGAGAGAGAGAGAGAGAGAGAGAGAGAGAGAGAGAGAGAGAGAGAGGAATCATCGATTCTCTGGCCGTTAGGACAATTATTCTAAAAACAAGCGGTATGTTTTTGTCGTAAGGCCCAATCAAAGGACCAGCCTTCCTTGTTGATTGGACCCGCCCAAGGACCATCATATCCTTCTGAGTTTCTCCAACTACCGTCCCCTCTAGTGATGTCAATTACGGAAAATCGGAATACCGATACCAAACCAAATACCAACCAAAACCACGGGAAAATACCGAAACCAAACAAACTTGGAAACTGAGGGAAATACCAACTTTTTACCGATTTCTTAGCCTCTTATACATTAGTGAGGGCTTATGATACCAACAAAATACCAAACACATTACGATTGAAGTACCAAATGCCAAGTTGGTATCGGTTTGGTATCGGTATACCAAAAAGTTGGTATCCGATTGACATCTCTAGTCCCCTCTCAGCCTCATCCAAGAGCCGCCAGCCGCCATCTGTCGCGCGGTCAACACTAGGACGCCATCGTCCGTCTGCGAGCGGCATCATCAGCCGGGCGTCGTCGTAACCGGCGGCGCCCGGTCAGATTGTATTGTCGGCCGGGGAGCGGCCGTCGCCAGCGGCGCAGCTTGTCACTGAGTGGCAGCGTCCATCGGAGGCCGTCGAGACGGCCCGGCGCCGCGCCGGCCGACACATTGGCCGGTCGGGAGCGCGGTCCGGCAGCCGTTCACGGCCCTCTGCCCGCGGGCCGAGAGCCGTCCCCTGTGACCGCCGGCGGCCCGTTCGCTGAAGTGGCGGTGTTCAGCGCTGATCGGACGGCGCCGTGGCGGCGACTCGGGCGGCAGTGACGCTGATTACCTCCCGCCGGAGCGGCGGCCGCCCGGCAGACCCACTCACAAATAGCGGCGGCAGCGACCACGCCAGCAGGGTCGCGGTCGCACTGAAAGCCGTGCACCGCACATACGCTGCTGATTGCCTGGCGTTCGTCGCGGCTACTTGACGACGGCAGACAGCAGGTGGCGTCAGCACATATCCGGCTGCGCCACCAGCACTGCTCCTGACACAAGACACCGGCCTGAAAATAGCCCTCATCTGCCGCTCGGACTCACATTCCCAGCCAGCATATTGTGCCGGTCAGGGCGCTCCCGGATGGCCGCCAGGCATGGATGCAGTCAACAATGGCAACGCCTGTTCTATTCTAATATTAATAAACAGCTCACATTTGGCAAGCCAATAACGTACGCTTATATAAGCTCCTTCTTATGTAACGTTTTATATAAAGCAATACTCAGCGAGGAGCTTAATACAATACCAGTTGCCTTATTTTACCACCACACGAGATGACAGGTCAATATCTTCGGTAACTGTCACCTAAGAAAGGTCGTCGAATCGAAAACAGAGCCATTTCGGCATGCTCCATCAGCAAGCAGGACCGCCCAGCGCTGAAGACGCGACGCTTGTTGATGTCTTTCTCATATGCGGCATTTGGATGCAGATTATAAATAACACGACTGTTTGCGCTCGTCGGAAGGCTGATTAAACTCTGGGGTCATCAAGTTTTGTGGAACAAACATAACCGAACGGGAACAAACAGCGCGGGTGAAACATGAGGGAGTAAAACGAATTTGATCCTTGTGAGTTAGCGTTATTACATGCCATAAACTAGACACAGTAGGTTTTATTGGGCGTGTAAACAGGAGTTTAATGACGAGTCCAATTTCAGGGCCATTGTATTCCTGCTCCACGGACGTTTAATGGTTGCCGTGAACCTTTCTGCATGGTTTGAGACGATTTGTGAACAAGACAACAGACGGAACACTTCAAGTCTCATGTAACGTAGACTACTTCCTGTTAGACGGATGTATTCTTTTCACTTCAGAAAACACTTTGAGAATGAACTAAGCTATGAACTAAGCCCATCAGCCGCGACGAATTGCAGAAGTTCTCGCGCAGCACAACCGCGCGCATACAGCGCGGTTGTGTCATGTCATGTCATACAGCGCGCTGTATGACACTGAACGGTGACTGAAGAGTGGAGCAGGACCAACAAGCTATTCGCCCTCGCACATTACAACTCATTACAACTCAATCCAGTCCGCGTCCCTTCCCAGGGTTGGAGCCCACGCGACCCCGACTAGCCACCTTGGTAACCGGTGCCCAAACGTTCGACCAGCCCGGTCAGTCGAAACTTAGCGGGCGCCACTCGAACTCTGCGCATAATGCACGGAGCCGTTACGTGTCCAGCGTGTGGTCGTCAATCATCCAATGGTCTCGGGACTGGGGTAGAGAGCGCCGGGTCGCCGGGTCGCGCCGTTAGCCCTAATTTCGCACCGCACAAATCGTCGCTGCTATCGACGTACGACGGCGACATAATCACGACTCAATCGCACACATGACGAACGGGCTTGCAATCGGTGCGGCGCAAATTATGGTGAACAGATTATGTGGCGATTGACCGTCGGGGAGCGGGAATGGTATTGGGGCAGACTGACCACACCCGGGCCGGGCCCGATCGGAAAGGCACGGCCTGTTGAGTTACGAGTGTATTGCCAGGAATGGAAATTAGCGACCTCCCGATCAGTGCATCACGTGATCGATACACCAAGGAAAAAATCATACCACAGTATATACAGCCTCGTCCCGAGTTAAATCCTAAAATCAATGAAGGACACCAATCGACTAAGGATACCGCAAATAACTAGTTGTCCAAGGGTGAATGGGTAGACGCACGATAAGTCTTTACGGTTGGATGCTAATTTCTATCCAAGCTGCATTTCTCCATAATTCCTTTTCCACAAACCTAACACAATTCCAAGGCATTCACAAGCACAACCAACATTAAACTAGGTCAGAGTAGCACCATTCAATGTTGACTTTAATATGTTCAGCGCCTTGAATGATACTTGCTTTGTTCAAGTTGAGTTTGCAGGCATGATGTGACCCAGGTTACAGGAGCTGATTACGTTCTACCGAACATGGGTACTAGCAAAC